CCGCCGGCATCTGCCGGGATGCGGGCAGTGCCGGGGCGGGGGCGGGGGTCGGCCCACCGAAAGTACATCTTCCGTAGCTACTCTCGGATAGAAGTACAGCTGTATATACGATATTTAAAGAGAGGAATTATTTTTCGTGAGAAAGGGAGCCTGATCTAGTGACCTTGTTTTGATAGCCTTAGCCCCCCCAGCTTCAACACTTAAGTTATCGTGAGGTGTTTTGTTTGCTGTACTCTGTACTAAGATAGTCGAGAAGGTAAATGTTCATATTAAGTCAGTGTCGAGTCATATGATAGCTAGCAAAACGTATGGAAAAATTAATCGTGCTGTCTGCTTAATTAAAATACCGGGTGTTGATCTTCTATAGCTAAATACGCATCTCCCGCTTACTCTGTGTTTCTGTACCCTGGCGACCGGGCGGTAGGCAAAATGCGCGTCTCCGGCAGCTGCCCCTTTCAAAACCCGCTCCGCTCCGTTAGTGGCTTGTTAGTGCGGCACAGACAATAGCGAGAAGCGCAGTTGGGTCTCGCCAGGCCAGACCCCGCGTCGCGGGCAGGCAGAGAGTCCCTGTCCGCAGCCGGCCTTTTTGGGTGGCCTCCGACCCCTCTCCCCCGCGAGCTGTGCTGTTGATGTGAGCTCCTTCGAGTCTTGTGGCCAGCTGAAACTAGGACGTGAAACAGTCTTTGGGTATGTTGCTGAAGCGCAGATGACAGGCTACTTTCCTTCTCCCTAACGAGACCTACCTTTAGCAAAGCAACCCGCAGCGTGTATTCCCTGGCTTGAACGGCGGTCTGGCCAAATGCTTTGAAATACCGTCAGATTTACCAGCTACTGACATTTCAGCCGGTATTTATTTATTTATTTAATTAATCTCCCCAGGCAGGAGTGCTTCCGTCTAAATGGGATAGCAGATGAGGCCAAAAATAAGGGCAAGGAAATTCAAGAAAGGATTTAGAACAAAGCTCATGCCTTTCTTGAATTCAGCAGGGCAAAGAGGGTCAGCTGGTGACTTCTGAAGAACCGAGTTGATCCCAGCCCTAGTCTTCGTTCTAACTGTCTCAAATCAGCATGCAAAATATTTCTATCTTTTGATTAGCATCCCCTAAAGCAATTATTTATGTAGTTTTAGATTTTGTTACACACGACAAAAGATTCATGTGTATCACGCCCCAAGGCTGAAAGCAAGCGATAAGTGCTTTTTTTTTAAATGTGCTTCACGGACTTTTTTGTTTTAGTTCCAGGACCTGGACAAGTGAATTAATACAATATAACCTAAAGCGGCCAAGATTTGCTGTCCGACGCAGACGGCTAAACTCACAGCTCGCTATTCTCATATGCCAGAAATAAAGCATGTTATTTTAAGTTGTGCATTTTTCCATCATTTGTTGGTAACAGAGACTTAGGTAAAAATGCCCCTTTTATGCAATTAAATGAGTTCTCCCTCCTCACAGTGACAACAGAGAAGGTCACTGTGTTTTTTTAAAATCATCACTCTCCTTTCGTCACTTGTGCAGTCAAAGACGAAGGGCTCTGGACCACAGAAACCTGATGATTATTAACTGCTCCTACAATTAGCACGCAAACAACCAGCCTGCAGGAGGGAACGTCCTGCGCTTTGTGTTACCTGTGGAGCTACGTGTGTTGTATTTACTAGATCTGGGGAGAAGTTTTCTGTACGGCGTTCTTGCGATGGGTTGGGAAAAAGCTCCTAGGAACTTGTGTGTACTTTTTAATACAAATGAAAACTAAGCCGTGTATCGCACTTAACTGCTCCACTCATAATATGCTATTCTTCTATAAATTGGAGTAAGAATCTAATCACTGAGGTGAATGACTAATATACAAAAGGTGGTAAGAATAATTTTATTGTATTATTAAATAGCATGTCTTCTCTTCAACCATTACAAATTTGTAGATACTACATGAATGACAATACATAATCTATCTTTTTATTGTTGCCCATATGATATATTTACACATGCAGTTAGTACTGATGTCATGCTACATTTTGTTAACAGCATTTTGTTGTTTGCCAGACTCAAAATGTGAGCATTTCATCTTCTGTAGGAAAATGTCTCTGGGTGGGTGGAACACATGTACTAATCTGCACTCACAGCGTTGGAATCGTCAGCATTTCAGGCCAGGCTCCTGGAGCATGTTCCCTTTTCTTCCCTAGTACATATCATCAGAGCAATGAATTTCTTTCAGGGAAGTGCTTTTTTTTTTTTTTTTCTCTTTTTAATGTAAGAAACAAGAATATACATCTAGATCCAGCAGCCCAGTGATAAAGGCTGAAAACCATGAAAACTCAATGGCATTTACTATTGATACCACTTGGAAAAGCAAACATTATAAAAATATTTGGAAGCCAAGCATAAGTAGAATTTCAGCACAGTGATTTTGTTTTCTGGCATAGATTATGGCATCACCTGCACAGTTATGAAATGATACGTTGCTCTGTGAAGAAAGAGTTGGTGCTACGAGCAAGTTATTTCGTTTGGACTCTGTAATGCTTGAAAGGCCGTTGAACTACTTTATTCTTAACATAAATAATCTGTACACATCCTGTGCATTAACATTGTGACATCTGACAAAGACTTTACAAATGCAACTTCAATTTAAAATTGTACATTCATTTTCAAATTGTACATAATTTCTTTCTTTGTTACAGAGAAAATTGCAATGGGGCACAATAAATATAGTGTAATCAAACTGCAGTCTCCAATTCCATATATGACTCAAGATCAACCAGAGTTAAAAATGACTACTGTTAAGATACTGTAATCATCCAGGAAGGTAAAAGGTGCAGAGGACAAACTGCACTGCAAAAAAAAAAAAGAAAAAAGAAAAAAGAAAAAAAAAAACTAAAAAAAAAAAAAGGCAGCCTGGACTTTGATAAAAAAACCAAAAGCTAAAATATTAAAGTAAAATTCCAGTGTCACTGTTTTAAAATAAACATACTTTAGAAAAGGGGTAGGCAGGGGACGGGTGCACGCACATTAGAGACATTATCCTTTAACAGAAAGCGGTGAGTTGCTGTGGGAAGGGCGGCCGATTGCTGTTCACTAGAAAGCTGCAGGCATCTCGCCACTTAGGACTTGTTGGCCGAGCCAGAGGAGCGGCGCAGTTTCATGGACATGCGGCTCTTGCTAGTCCGAGGAGACATTGGAGAGGCTAAGTCTGTTCCATCCACCTGTGCTGTTGCTGCTGCTGGAGGTTCTCCCGGCTGAGTCTCTGGGCAGAAGCCTGCAGAGGACAGCAAGAACCAGACGGGTCAGTGCCGCCTTCCGCACTCGCAGCGCGGGATCTATTCACAAGGGGCAGAGAGGAATTTCAGTGCTGCTGTCACTCCCACAGCATCTCCTAGCCCTTTACCAGCTGTGGGCGATGGTACTGCACGTGGAGTTAGCCACTGCCACAAATCCACCTCTAGAGAAAAGGCGATGCCAGAAACCACTGAGCTACGGGACTGCAGAACCCCCTCGCTCTCGGCAACTGAGGCAGCACTGAAGTGGGCGACGTTCTCCCGCTAACCGGGAGCACAAACACCTCCAGTTCCCTCGCAGGGATGGGGAGTTGTTATTCAAATCACAACCCAGAAGAATCCAGTCTTTAATGAGAACATGAAGGTTAACAGCTCATTGCGCATGAAGGGAGCTCTAGGAATGCAGCTGAAGAGGTGGAGTGAATCGGGGGCCGACTGGGAGAGCAAAACGTCTTCTCCCATCGCAACTTCAAAAGGCAAATTCCTACAGGGCCCACAAGGCAGAAGCTTGAACAGATCATACTAACTGGATGCACTCTATGCTAATGTTTCTTTGTAAAAGGAACAAGATGAATTTGAGGTAACGGTATGTGGTTCATGAGCCCAGTGCCCAGAGCTACACTCCCGTGGGCCCCCAGTCCTCACTGCAAGAGGACAAGGCTCTTCCTTACAAACAGCCCGTCTCCAAATCTTCTTCCATAGAGACACAAAAGGAAAAGGAGAAAATACAAAATCAAAATTACATTCTCCTTCCCATGTACAGGAAATTAACACTATGAACTCACATCCACAAAACTGAACTGCATTTTAATTAGCCATTTACACAGACTGACAGCCTGATTGAACTCAGCTACCTCAGTCGCCACTGATCGCTTCTGACTCGTATAAATTATGGACAGAAGCTTAGTCCTGCAGAAGTCAATGGGGAAACCCCTGCTGACTTCAGTAAGCTAGAAATCACTTGCTCTTTCTTCCACATCATGCTATTACTGCTAATTCTTTAAAATAATAGTGCAATAATCAGAACTGAAGATCTCTCTCCCTCAGTATACGTTTCATATATTAAGGGGTGCAAAAACCATTCAAAACTGATCATGATTTATTTTGAAAGGCTCCTCTAAAATCAAATGAGGTCATCAGGTAAGAAGTCTAAGAGTACATTTAAAACACATTGTCATAAAATTCTGCGATTTAGTGCCCTGGCTGTCCTCCTTGCCTGGTCCAGCACCTGCCTCCTCCAGAGGGATGGCATGGTACTTTCTATCTTTCTCAAACTGACACGACCCATCAAAGTGACTGGGAGGAGAAAGGGCTGTTATTTGTTCCCCAGCTGGTGACAGTAATTCTGTTCATGAACTAGGTACTTCATTGCCAAACAATCTGGAAAAGCATGATAATGCCTGACTCACTGTGCCTTGCAGAAAAAGGCACGCAGGGAAACATGCACTCTCATTCTCTGAAATTCTATCTTGTTCTAATTTTACAAGGAATTAAAGCATTTCAAATGATGGAAGTTAGAGAATAGAAAATAACCGTTGTTGTTTTGCACAGCATACCATTCACAGCTAGCGTGAAAGACCTTCCGTTTCAAGCCTTTGCCCTTTACCTTGATGTGGCCAATGCTTTCTAGTGGAGGTTTTGGAAGGAGAAGAAATATCACAGCATTTCTTTCTTTGTTGAGAATGAAGAAGTGATGAGGAAGGAGGAGTGGAAAGAAGTGAGGAAGGGGGAGGAGAAAAGATAAAAGATAACAGGTGTGAGATATGAGACACGAACCGCAGAGATTGAAGGGTATTAACAGATGAGCACAGAAAAAGGAATTTCGAATTTCATTATGCAATTGCTGCTCATGCTACAGGTTAAAGAGAGTGATGAGTTAGTTATGTGCAATGAAGCAACAGCTCTGAAATCCGGCGTCATACTTACCAACTAAGCATTACAAGAAAAAAAGGAAGAGAGAGAGAAAGAAAAGAATTCTATGACATTATCCAGATCCAGCAACCTTATTCATAGCAACTGAGATACATCCTAAACATTGTCTGAAATGCTTGCTTAAAGTCTGTGAAAACAGTTTAATACTCACACACATACACACAATTGAGAAAGAAAAACAAATGGCAACTCAATATATGGCTTCTGCTCCCCAGCTGTTTCACAGTATTAAGTGTGCTAAAATTATAGCCAGTCTCAACATGAGACTCCTGAAATCACGTAAAGAAGAAAAAACCAGAGTATTTAAGCT